CAAAAGATCAGCCAATTCTCTAGCTGATGGTTTAGCTAAACAAGGGGTAGAAAGGGATTCAATGTTTTGGGCTAAGTTGTAATGTTTTGTCTCTACCTATTCTTTTATTGTACTTGGAAGATAAGTGTGTTTGTCTTCCTTATATAACCCTCTTTGGTGAATTAATGAAATTGTTATTGATCAAAAAAAAAAAAAAAAGAGAGGACTGTGGTATAAAGTGGTGGAAAGTATTCATGGTTGGCCAGACAATGGTTGGGATGCTGGTGTATCTCGTCAAGCAACTTTGACCTCTCCTTGGAAAGTCATCATGCTGTTCTTCCTTAGTTTCTAATGTTTGTCAGGTACGACTCGTGTTCCGGGGACAGTTTTATTTTGGGAGGATGTGTTGGTTGGAAATTCTGCACTTATGGATCCCTTCCCATCCTTATGTTCGATCTCTTTGTATAAAAAGGAACCAATCTGGAAATTTCTCTCATCTTTCTCTCCTTCTATTGGTATTAGTTGGGGTTTGGGATTTAAAAGAGGGTTGAGAGATCATGAGCTTGAATTAGTGGCTAATCTTATGAAAATTCTTGGAAAAGTTTTTTCAGACCCATCTGAATCTTCTAATGGGCTTTTTTTTTTTCTTGTGCTTCTTTCTTCTCTTCTTTGTGTTCTTCTCCTTCCTTCCAGTTTTTTCCTTCCAAGGAAATTTCGTGTAGATCTATCCCCCCTAAGGTTGGTGCTTTTTGTTGGGAAAGTATTCTATGGGAAGATTAATACATTGGAATACTTATAAAAGAGAAGAGCTCTTCTTTGCTATTTTCCAAATTGATCCATTCTTTGTGATAAAATTCTGATCTGCACTAGAATCCTGTTAGAATTAGTATTAGAGAGAGAGAAGAGAAGTGGTACAAGAGAGAATAGGAGAAGAAGAAAAGAAGAAAAGGAAAAAGAAGAGAAGGAAAAAGGCTGGTTAAGTATGGGACACATCACTTATATGTTTCTATATAAACAAAAGACTAGAGAGAAAAGTCACCCTCTCTCGTCGGCCAGGTCATATTTATATGTTTCTATTAAATAAACAAAAGACTATTATGTCCCCACTTAAGTATGGGACACATCACTTAGCATATACATTACACATCAGCTTAAACATAAATAGAAGGACTAAACTACCCCTATACAGTCGACACTAACACTTTGCAAAGCTAATGGGGGAAGCTGTTACCACCTACTAATGTCCTGTCCATTTGATGCAGGTATTTGGGAAAGGTTTTTCTCTTTGTTTGAGCCCCTCTGCAAACTATTAAAACTAGTTGACCTTAGTACAACTATGATTTTAATAATGGTTTGATATAGTGATATAAACTTGTAATTCATGTCTATTTCTTTCATGTTTAATACTCTTTCACTAGTTATGGTTGAGCTATTTAGTTATGATAATTGAGCTGTTTAGTTTTGAAGACTATAGTAACACCTGAAAATAGACAATACACACACACACACACACACACACACACACACACACATATATATATATATCTGTGTGTGTGTCTTTATGTTCTTTTACAAAATAAATATCACTTACCATCCATTGCTTCCAATTGGTAAACCATGGTTACTCTGAAATCTGAAACTTGCAGACTCAAAATGTCAAACCTTGATCAATCTCCTAGTGCTTCTTGGTCTGGGTGATGGAAGGCGCTCTCCACCTGATTCTTAGGTGGCGTAGTAATGGGTAAAGGACAAAATGGCTAAGGATCACTACATTGGGTGGTGACCATCTCTCTTATAATTGACTCAGGAACTCAAAATGTCCTAACCCCTCAAGGACTTTAAGTTCCTGTATTCAAATCCACTAATCGATGAGTGCTTCAGTGAATTAACTTCCACAGCCCATATGTTACAAAACATTAAGAAAAGGAAAATAAAGATCCCAAACGAGACCAAATTCCAACAAGTTTTTCTCTTATCAAGTTTGTTATAACAAATTTATGAAAGGTTGAACTGACTGTTGTTTTAACTTCCAGAGTATTGCTCCTCAAAAAGGGAGTGAAGTCAATCTGACCCTTGGTGGAATTGATCTAAACAACTCAGGCAGGTTGGCTGTTTCCTTGGTTTTCATATGACTTTTTACTTGGATTTTTGCATACTGATGTTTTTTAATAGTTCATGTTAGTGCATATGGCCTTGTAATCAGCTAATAAATTCCATATATTTGAGTTAATGCTTACTTGAGAGTCTTTTGTTATCAGCTATTAATATTTCTTCTACCTACAATTGTGTAGTGTGGTTGTCAGAGCAGATAAAAAACTCTTGACCGTGCTGTTTCCTGATGGTCGTGATGGACGAGCTTTCACACTCAAGGTATTTTGTTTTCTATTTCCCTTTTTCTTTTCTCTTTTTAGACTGCTTTGATAGAGAATGCTTCATAGATTCTCCTATTCTTCTGTCAAAGATTTTCATAAACACCTTTTCCCAGTTATCTGTAAGTGAAAATTCAAATTGAATCTTTTGATTTCTTTACATCATTGTCCTCCATGCAATGCTGACACTAGATGCTTTCTCCTTTCTTTAGTATACAGAGAGATGCTATTGTAGAGCTAAGGATGTGGGAAACCTTTGGCCTTATTTTTTGTTGTCACTTTTTCTGGTCAGCTGTCTACTTCCTGAAATCCTGGATATGGATATGGGTATCCCATGCTTATGTCGCGCTTTTGTATCTAGTTTCTAAAGATAAATGTCAGTTCTCAAGATTTATGTCTTTCCAAATTAATTAAATTTCTAATTTGTGCAGACATACCAATTTACATATTTTTAAAACTGTAAATGCTGTAGAGTACATCTATAAATATCCATGCAGGGGTTCATAGTCATAGAAACTAGGACAATATGAAGATGGAGAAGTTTGTGGAAGCAGCAAAATGGAAGAAAGTTCTGAAGGTTGAAGCTAAAGACTTCTTTTGAAGAGATGAGAATCAAAGGGATGCCGAGCATAAAGATCCGGGAGGAAAAGAAGGCTAGAGTCTTGCTGGTGGGCCTTGAAGTGATAGAATTGTTGGAGGATTTTGTGATGACAGAAAGTTCCAAAAGTGAGCAAACAAACTACAGTGAGCTTGGATTAGAAGGAAGAAGAAGGTATTAGGTGGAGTGTAGGAAAAATGCTAAAGGATCATTTATTGCACTCTAGGAACATTTTGGGGAAGGAAGCAGCTGGTATGCTTCTCTGAAGGAAGAAAGGGTCAAGGTTGGAAGGAATTTGCAGGGCTGTTTAGTGATTTCCTATTCAGGCAGGAAAAGTTTGAAATACCAGTAAAGGAAAAAGAAGTGAATATGAGTCATAACAAGGTAGGAGGAAAGGAGCAGAGGCCGGTAGTTGTAGAGAAGGGAAGAGGAAACTGCAAAATGATAACAAATTGTGGGAAGGAGGATTGGGAATAATAAGGAGGTAGACAGTTCGATAGAGGAAGAAATGTTTCAGATTCTGAAACCAAGGACGCGAGTAGTCTCGGTAGTGTAGATTCTGAGCTTCTATTCATCAAAGGTAAGGATTTGGGTTCTCTAAAGAATAATGAGGAGGATTTCTCTTAACTTCTAACATCTCAAAAGTGGTAGTCAAGCTAGCAAAATCTACAGAGGAGAGTCAAGGTACATCTGAACCAAAAACTATATCCATTCCTATAGAGCAACCTAGTCTTGATAGCGGTTCAGTGGGACAGGAGTCTTTCTTGCTATGGAATGCTGAGTCAGTGGTTGGGGGACAACAGTCTAAGGTGGATTTGGTTGTCATGGTTAAAACTGTATTGATTGAACTTGATACACTCCCGCAGCTATCAACTCCATTATCTATTTTTCCAACTTGCCCAGGTACGTTTGTTGTTTCTTGCATTTCCAAGAATCAGAGAATCACCAAGAAATATACACCAGCCAGTAGTAGAACGACGAGTGTCAAGGCAACTTGCCCAATTTGCATCTGCATAAGTTCAGAGCTGAGTAGAGGAGGAAGATGAGAAAAATAAGCCATTAGACAGTGTGCCCTTGACATAACGAATGATCCGGAGAATTGCAGAAAAGTGGGGCTGACGTGGAGCTGATACAAACTGACTCACAAGCTAGACAACAGGTAGATAAGACTACCTACATGTTGGCGATACACTTAGCTTACGGTTAAGTTCCGGAGGCGTCCCCACTTGTTTAGAATCAGTCAAGCGAGCAAATGCAACCAAATTGGAGGCATATTTTTGTTGGTTGACAAAATAACCTTAAGGACATCACTGAATTTCAAGCCCAAGAAAATAGGTGATCAGCCCAAGATCTTTCATTTTAAAGGAGTTGCTGAGAAGGAGCTTCAAGTTGTTAATGCCATCCACATCATTTCTGGTGATAAGGTTATCATCAACATATACCAAGGGAAGAGTCAACCATTGTGCTCGCTTAAGAGTAAAAATAGAGTAATTTGAAGCACTTTGCTAAGAACTAGCCTCCAACACCACTGTACGGAAGCGGTCAAACCAAGCTCTTGGAGCCTGTTTAAGACCATATAAAGATTTCTTCATTTTACACACCAAAAAAGGACCACCATAGTATCCGGGAGGTGGTTTCATATAGACTTTCTTGTAAATTCCCATGAGAAAGGCACTCTTGACATCCATCTAATGAACTGTCCATTGTCTAAGAGTAGTAATGGCCAAAAGTAAACGTACAGTTGTCATTTTAGCCATTGGAGCAAAAGTTTCATCATAATCAATCACGTACTCTTGCTTGTAGCCTTGAGCAACCAAATGGGCCTTATATCTGTCTAGAGTACCATCTGATTTGAGTTTCATTAAATAAACCCATCAGCTACTGGTCATGGAGGCATCTGGGGGAAGGGAGACAAGATCCCATGTATCATTCTACAATAAGGCATGAACCTATGAATCCATGGCATCTTTTTAATGCTTAACTGCTACAACCTGGTTGTAAGACTTAGGAATGTTTGTAAATGACAAAACAACAAAAAAGGAGCTATGACTAGAAAAGAAGCCATAGCGGTCAGGTGGGCGAGAAATACGAGATGATTGACACAAGGGACCAGATTAAGGCAAATCAATAGGATGAGAAGAGGAACTTACAATAGTGATGGATGGAGAAGAATAACTAGTTACTGGTGCTGGAGGTGGAGGAGGCATAGGCAATGAGCGAGTTGGATGCTTCATGGAATAAACTTGATGTGGTTGAGATGTAGAAGGAGGATCACCTGCAGAGCCAAAGTGATGTAGAATAGAAGGATGGTGCAGGCAATTTAATAATATGTTCAAAGAATGAAAGGTTCTCAAGAAAAATGACATTACGAGAGATGCGCAGTCTACGGACTTTGGGATCATAACAGTGAAATCCCTTGTGTTCCATACTGTATCCCATGGATGCACACAACTGATTGAGCTGTTAGCTTTGTGCGTTCATGGGGAGGAAGATGGACAAAGTAGACACAAGGCATGGCCAGATTTGGTGGACGATGAAACAAGGATTGATGGGGAGAAGAATTTTCAAGAATAGAAGTGGGAAGAATGTTGATGAGGTGGACAACAGTGCGGGTCGCCTCCACCCAGAAGGTAATGGAAACATAGGAGGAGTCTTGTAACAAGGATCTCTTCATTCTAGCAATGTGACGATTCTTGCGCTCAGATACCCCATTTTCTTGAGGTGCTTGGGCGAGATCTTTGGGACTGAATGCCATGTTGTTTGAGATAGGTTTGAAACTCACCATTCTCACCATCAAAGTAGTCTTCCTCTGATTCTGACATCAAAATTCTTATAGTGCTTTTAAATTGGGTCATAACCATAGCATGAAAGTTCTTAAATGTAGGAAAGACTTCTGATTTCTTTCAAAGAAAGTAAACCCATGTGTCTCAAGTACAATCATCAATAAACAACACAAAATATTTATAACTCAAGCATGAAATAACTGGAGACGACCAAACATCATTGTGAATAAGGTAAAAAGGTGTAGAAGTATGTTCAGTAGAAGATAGAAAATGCAAAACATGACTTTTACTATAGCAACAAGTTAAAGAAGATTTATCAACATTCTTAAATGAAGCAACAGTCATAGGCAAACAACCAGAAGAGAATAAATAGACCAAGTTTTTAGCATGAGTGTGGCCCAAATGTCTGTCATAAGTGCCACACATTATTACAAGAGGTAGAGGAAAAACTAGTAGTATAGAACAAACAAGAGTATGATGAAGCTCGCTTATTCTCATATTCCAAGGCAAATGATCTTCCAAGCCTATGCCCTTTCCCCTTCAGCTCCCCGGTGTGTTGGTCTTAGATAAAACAATCGTTACGAGTAAACAAAACATTATTACCATCATTAACAAGTTGTCCAACAGAAATAAGACTAATAGCCAACTTAGGCACAAAAAAGGTTTTGGGAAGATGTAAGAGTGTAGACTTAGAAGTGGATAAAAATAAATCATCACACCCACATACAAGAAGAGAATCATCATTAGCAGTAATAATGTGGTTAACAGAGGTGTAGGGTTTAGAAGACTGACCAAAGGAAGCCCTGATGATGTGGTTTGAAGCCCCAGAGTCAATAATCCACATGTGTGAAGGAGAAGAACACAAATAAGTTGACTTACCAGCCAGTTCAATAGCAGAAAAAGCAGAGGAAATAGCCGGGGACATAAGCTCATGAATCTTATCTTTAGTCAAATTTCCTTGTGAATCAGGTTTGTGAGCTATTTAGGAGGAAGCGGTATCAGTTGGCGTCGATTCAGCTGAGGCATGATAAGCCTTATGTTGTCCTTTCTTGGGGGGCCTGGTTGGGCATTCCACCGTTCCACTATAATGTGTCCCTGCTGTTTGCAGTAGGTGCGAAAATTTTCTTCTTGCAGTGGGATTCTATGTGTCCAAATTCCTTGCATTAATAGCATTGCATCTTCGAGAAGTCCTTCCCCTTCTGTTTGGTAGCCAAGAAGACAATATCTATTCCTTGTTCCTTCTTCTGATCAAGTGTAGGCTAAGTGAGGAGATGAGTTTCCTTTCTTAATAACTCTCTAAGTATTATGTCAAGATCAAGTATAGGCTCTCAGCTTAGTATACTAGAGTGCAATGTTTCATAATCAGATCTATGGTGCATAAAAAAATGCATAATCTTTCTCTTACTAAGGTGTTTCTTCATAGTTTTTATACAGCAGTCTGTAGAGTGGTCCCCAAAGTGAGTCGGTTCATATTCAGTCCAGAGGTTCACAAACCCAACATAATATTCTTGAATCCGTTTCACTCCTTGAACATAAGAAAAAATATCAACTTCAATCTGATATTACCTGGACATGTTTGATTGTTGATATACCTTTTCAAGGTATTCAAACATGTCATGGGCAGATTTGAGTCCCCTCATCGGAATACTGACATCCATTGTGACAGAACCAAAAATCCACGAAACGGCCTGTGCATTCTCAGTTTTCCATTGTTTCCATCCTTTGGCATCATCAGCATCGGGTATGGGTGTGGAATCATCAATGTAACCCCACATACCCTTCCCTCCAACAAAATATTGGAAGTGAAACTTCCAAAGAGCATAGTTGCTTCCATCAAACTTGACAAATAATTTCACTCTTTTCAAGACCCATGTCGAGAAAACACAAAGCAAAACTAGCCAAAGCAAGCAATATAAGCAGAGAATTAGTCCAAGAGAGTCAAAATATAAGAGAAGAAACCTCTTACAGTCAAAAGAGAGTGTCCAAAGTACAGCAATGATTGAAACCTGAGAACACAGTCCAAAAATGGAAAGACCGACTGCTGCCACCCAGAAGAGATGTATAGATCTCTCTCAATCCTTCTTCGATCTCGATGAAACTTTCAGAGTATGATGAAAAGGGCCAGGCGACACTTCCTTTCAAGTTTCACCACAACAGATGTCTTTCGAGAGAGATCCAATGAGATCTCTCTTGCTGATTGCACAGATCACAGAAAACTGATTCCTGGATTGATCAAAACAGTCCAGAACCAATCGAAGAAGAGAAGAACCCTCAAACAGTTTGAAAGAAAGAGAAATGAATCAGAGAACAACCCGCTCTGATACGATGTTAATCTGTGAGAAAGAGAAGAGACAAGAGACAAGAGGGAAGCCAAGAGTTCAAATCTGTTAGGGTTGATCAGTATGATCAAATCAATCCAAAAAGAAAGAATTTATATTAAGAATGTTAATGGGCAAGATTGTCCTTACAAAAGAAATAAAAGAAAAAGACCTGTACACTAATGTCTAATGTACACGCCTACTAGATTACAAGAAAGAAAAGGTAAAATTACATAAGTACCCTCCATTTTCTCTACAACATTATCTCTTTATTTTCAGGTCCAGTGGGAGTTGGAGACTCAACAAGGGCTGAAATACTAGCAGCTATACAAGGCCTACAAATTGCCAACCACCTTGGAGTGGAGAACTTGTTAGTTGAAGGAGATTGCAAGGCAATAGTGGGTTGGCTGTTGAATCCAGACACTGTTATTTGGGCTACAGAGATCTTTTGAAAAAAGTAGAATGGCTCACAAGGAATATGTCAGTCCGCTTCCAATGGGTTAGCAGATCAGCAAATACCTTGGCAAACTCTCTAGCTAAACAAGGGCCTTCTCGGGTTTCTTTGTATTGGGCTAACTTATAGTTTTGTTCACTGATAAGAGTTGGGTCTGTCCTCATCCCAATGGGAGGTAGCATCTCGTGCCTCATCCAAGGCTGATTGTACTCTCCTTTTTTTTCTTTAATAAAATTGATTAATCATTCATAAAAAAAATATCCATGCAGTATCCTGTATACATTACTGTATGTTAGGCATGTGCAGATATCCGGGAACCATAGGGAGGATCTTTGAATATAATTCTCTAAGAGTTGCTCTTCTAGAGCTTCATAATATTTTAGTTGGTGTTGTGCCTATGTGGGTGATTATTGCAAAGAATAAACTGTGACATTATTTAGGGAGTGAGATTATGAGGTTTCAGAGGCATGTGAATGATTGAGAGATCCTTCTCCTATTCAGCTTCTATCTAAGCTTGAAAGGGTTGTTATTATCAACTGGTTTCAAGGATAGATGTGTCTGGAGGTGTAAAGCAAAAGATATATTTTCAATGGAGTCCTTTCCAGCTTTATGTGATTCATTATCCTAGATCTTCTTGGAAAAGTTGACTTGGAAATCTTCTGTGGCTGTGCAATGTTTTAACCATCCGAAGGCATTCAACCATGTATTTTTATGTAAAAGGAAAGTGAGAAGTTGGTCAACTACTTTGTGGTTCTACAAGGTGTGGTTGGATTTCTTGTCTTTATCTGGGCTAGACTTGCTTTTCTCAAGGAAACTCATGGATATTGGGTACTGTTATGAAGCTCATTACAATTAGGATTGTCGATAAGACCTGAACAGATTGGGTCAGTTCTGGGTCCTGATATATTGTTCTGATTATATATATATGACCCGATTGTCCCGAGAACCGATTGGTTTGGTTCTGGGTCTAAACATTGTAGACCCTATCGAGTCTGGTTCGGTTCTGGGTCATTTATATTTATTGTCGGGTTGGTTACGGTTCTATCTGGACCCAACACAGACCCGACCCGTTGGCAGCCCTAATTACAATTCTAGGTATATTGGTTCTTTTGTTGGTGTTTTTGGAGTCTATGGAGGAAAAAAAAGGTTATTGAAGGCAAGTTTGTACTATGGAGTTTAAGGAAGGTTTGAATTATGTAATTAGAAAATAGTCTCAACTCTTTGAGGGTCGCTTACTTTCATTGGAAAACCATCGTTTTAGCCTTTTTTTCTTTCTTTTCTTGGTAATCATTTGTGAAGTTAGCTATTTTGACATATTATGTTCATGCATCTAAGTGAATTTCCCACTCATTTTGTTTTATTGATTTTTTGATCGGTAGCAAACAGGGCTGTCAATGGGTTGGGTCTACTCAATAGAACTGAACTGACCGAACTGATTATTATCTGTTCTAGTTCTGGGATTTTGTCCCAATTAATAATTGGTCAGTTCTGGTTCTTTCTGTTCTGAACCAATTATTCTGTTAATAATATATAAAGGTTTCCTAGTTTTCTTATATTTTATGTCTAAAAGGACGATTTAATAGATAATATAGAAGATAATTTTAATTAAAACACTTTATTTATTATATATATAAATAATTTACTATTTTACTGTCTTTTTTATTAAGGTTATATTATGAAAAATCAAGTTTTAATTTCGTTTAGTATCAGGTCAGACCTGATTATCCCGATTATTAATCAGGACAATTCTGGGTTCATGCTTTTGTCCCGATTAATAATTGGCTTGAGACTGGGAAACCTTGTCCTGACCCAGACCTGACCCTTTGATAGCCCTAGTAACAGATCACAAACTTTGTTAGTAATAGGAAAAAGAGAGAAGTACAAAGAGAACTATAATAAGCCAGAAGAAGCTTATGCACCGTCTTCATACTAAGCCTTCTCATACATCCAGTGATTAAAGAAAGCTCTGTAATCTGTTAATACAGAATCTTCGTATAGTATTTTTGAGCAAATTTCTTACTTAAGGCAATAGGAATTCTATTCTTATTTCTTCAACTTTTGGCCTGTCATTATCAGTCAACTACTTTCTCTTTATGCATCAGGCTGAGACTACTGAGGATCTATATGAGTGGAAGGTTGCACTTGAAAATGCATTGGCTCAAGCCCCAAGTCCAACTCTTGTGGTGGGACAGAATGGCATATTTCGGAGTGATCCAGATGATGGTGCTTCAGAACAGTGTATGCTCCTTTTCATTATACTCATGTTTTATGTGTATTGGCTACCTTGAAAACTACACCATATGGTTCTGCTGTACAATTTTCATGCATAAACTGTTTGCATATATCCATAGTTCCATACATGAAAACACCTGTAGCTTTTTTTGGAAAGTTTATTTGATTTTGATTATTTTGCATAATCAATAGGCTAGAAATTTTTGGAATTAATTGATTAGATAATGATCTGAACCTGAATAGCTTGCTTGACACTCCACTGAATTTTCTTTATTTTTTCTGGGTAGTGAATGATAAGCGGCCTAGTAAATCCATGATTGTTGGTAGGCCCATATTGCTTGCTTTAGAAGAGACTGATGGAACTCCATCCTTCTTGGAGAAAGCACTAAGGTTTATAGAAGATCATGGTAAGATATTCATATGATACTAAAATTTATTTTCTATTAGGACTATTGCTGCTTCACATTTCTGATGCAAAAGGGGATTATTTTCTGTGGGTTGGATTGCTTCTTTCATGAAGTTAACTGACAACATAGTGAAAGTGTTCTAGCTTGGTATTTGATAACTTTGTTATGTTTCTAGATCTGAACTTTTCCGGATGTCTTGAATAGGTGTCAAAGTAGAAGGCATCTTGCGACAAGCTGCTGATGTTGATGATGTTGAATGCCGAATGAAGGAATATGAGAAGGGTTTGTCTGTTTGACCTCACTAGGGTTCTTGTTACAGTTCTAATTTTCTTACTTATCAAAGAGATATGGACTTTGAGTAATTTTCAGAGAAATGCTAGTAATGTATCCATTTATGTCCTGTAGTGTTTGTTTTCATTTGTCTCACTTCCTGGCATATCTATAGGGCAAAGTTTCCATGAGTTGCGTAAACTCGTGTAGTAGCATTCCTTTAATTTTCATGTTTGTTTTATTATGATTTGTATCTAAGGAGATCTTTTTCTACTCTGCCTGTTTGGTATTTGTCTCACATACTTTTGGTAGCAATACTTGGAAGTTTTTCATCACACTGCTATTGTTCATAGTTATATCACATGCATATTTTCAGGGAAAGTTGAGTTTTCTTCCGAAGAGGATGCACATGTCATTGGTGATTGTGTCAAGGTATTTTCTTCTTAGTCCTGGCACATAATGGCAATTCAAACTTCTCTTGTTATTATAACAATATTTCGAAACTTGCATTTCCTAATCTATTTTCTACCTTTTATACTGTTCCAGTATGTCCTTCGGGAGCTACCATCATCTCCAGTTCCTGCAGCTTGTTGCAATGCCTTATTAGATGCCTTTCGTAAGTCTTTTCTTTTGGCAATGCCTATTTCCAACATTCTTCACTGCAGACCTTCACCATTTTGTGTCTAAGAAGAGTTTGTAGTTTGTTATTGGTTAGTGAGTGAAGATAGGTTTCAAACCTGGATTTGTGGTATCAAAACCAAAAGCCCATGCTTGTTAATATTTAATTTGAACCAAATAAAACATTTACCATGAAGTTTTATACACCAACAGTTGCAATTATTAGTTTTCATTAGGAACGGCAACGGCTAGGGTACCCATGCAAGTTGCCCTACTCATTCCCGAGCCCGCCTGTGTACCTTGATCCCATACCCGTCCCAAACCTGTCCCGTCCCAAACCTGTAAAACCCGTCCCACCCGATTTGAAAATTTAATTAATGCCTTCTACTTAAAATTTTAACTAATGCTTAAATCGTGATTTGAACCCACATCACTCAATGATAGAACTGAAACTCTTAATACTACTTCAAGCCAGTCACTAAGCCATCTCACCTTGTGTCATTTAATGAAATAAAATAATTTTTATTAGGTTTCATGTTCATCCAAACAAACAATACATATTTATTATTAATAATTCCAACTAAAAATTAAAAGAAATAATATTTAAAATTAGCCTTTTGTAAATAAATGGAATAAAATAATCTATCAAAACCAAATTTACATCAAAAGATGATTTTAATCCCAAAAATTTATACAAATAAAATATTAACAATAGAATAATTATCTTAGTACTTAAAATTTATAAATTTGTGCATGATATATCTTACAATTTTTATATTTATTAGTTAATATTTTAATTTATATTAAATAACATTATATTTATCATTTACAAAAAAATAAAAAAAATCGTTTACAAAATATTGAGGAATATAACATTAAATTGGATCTATCAAATCAACTAATTTACATTTAGATGAAAAAATGATTTTTAGTTTCAAAAAATTTATAGAATACAAATTTTAATAATGAAATAATTATTTTAGTAATTAAAAATTATGAATTTTCTATGATATATATCTTATAAATTTTAACATATTTGATATATTTTGAGTAAAAATTATATATTTTGTAAATTGCTAAATGATAATTTAATTTATATTTGAAAAATTAATATTTGGTTAAACTTTTTGTTAATGTTAAAAGTAAAAATAATAAATTAGAAAATAATTGAAAATTTAATAAACAAGCTACTTACCTAAAAGTATTGCTGGATTGGACTTGAACCTAACCAAATGCCCCAAGCTTTCAAATTAACCAATATAGGAATGTCATAGGTCAATGGGGTACTCTTGACTTCTACTTAACTATTTTTCTTAACATGTTGTATATTATAAATTATTTTATACTATATATTATACCATACCACATGTTTTTATACTATATATATTTTATATATATAGTTGGGTTTATAATCGGGTATCAAGAATGGGTACCCATGTCAAATAAAACCTGGTATTGGCTATTAGACACCCTAAAGTCAAAACCCAAATCTGTCCCAAACCCTATAGGTTTTAATCTAAAATCCCAAACCTGTCCCAAACCCTATAGGGTTTTGATAAACGGGTCCTATTAGGGTCGGGACGGGTCGGATACCAGAAAATTCCCACAGAATTGCCATCCCTAGTTCTCATCTAGTGATGGAAGAAGTAAGAGGACATCAAGATATAGGGTGTTTTTCTTTTTGTCACTCTTGAATCAATAGACATCTGATGCCAACAAGAAATAGTCTCTCAAGTTCAAAGATATCAGACTACTCAAGGAAAAAGCAAGTTTGCCCCCAGCAAAATCTTCTCAAAAAGATGATTACACACCATCAGCCTCCATAAACCCTCAAGTAAATCCAAGCAATGCAAATGCAGGATAAATAAGTTAAGGTATTCTCATCTGTAAACACCCCAGAGAAGATACAATTCACCTTGGTTAGTTAGTACCCACAAAACAGTAAAAATATTCCAAAATACTGGTTGGGCAGAAAATCTAGGATAAACAAAAAAATCTATCTAAATTCCAAATTGAACAAAATCCCATTGGACTTGTTTGATTTATTCACCATATGGACTGAAAGCAGGCAGACAAGATTAGTAAACACACCTTCAATCAAAGATAACAACTGAAGAAAACCTAATCTGTAATATCCACAAGCAAAGTTTTGAAAAAAAAATAGTGAATGGATCTAAACCAGTTTATAACCGGTATTAAAATACTGCATAAATTGAGCTCTATCAGGCAGTAGGGTTTTCCCTTTGTCCTAAGGGACTGGGTGTAAACCTACTGACATTATCAAGCTATACACAGATGATGTCAGCTCATTGGTCTGTTAAACCTGTTGCAAGGAAAAGACTTGGCTTCTAGGCCCCGTTTGTTTACTGGCAAATAAGAGGGGGAAAGTTGGTCAATGGTATCTTTTTCCCATTGACCAACTTTACAGTGTTCTTTTTGCACTAAGTACTGGGCCCCACAGGAAAATCAGCTTCACTTACCCGGGTAAAACTTATCCATCTCCCAGGTGGGTAAGTAACTTTCCCACTTGGGGGGAAAGTTTGTAAAACATAACGGGACAAGTTTGCCCATTAAAACTTTGGTTTTTTATGGCTAAAAAGCCATTCTATTTCTTACCTGGGAATCAAAAGAACATGGGTAGGTGAATTTTCCTGGTAAGTGTTACCCAAGAAACATTTACCTGGGTAAGTTACAAAATTCTAAATAAACAAGGCCCTAATTTATGTGTTGTAAGGGGTGTTTTTATGAATATTTCAGGTGCAGGGGGTTTCTTATCATTTTTCTTTCTTCCAAGGTCCATTCTGTAATTATTTATTTTATTAATATATTAGGGTGAAGTGGGAGCCACCACTATCCCATTCAATTTTCCTCCATTCTGTTTGTTGTTTCCTTCCCTTCTCTTCTCTCCCTTTCTTATCTGCTCTCCTAGAATATGTTGCATTCGATTGCATGGCATCAGAGCAATAATCTGTCACAAAATATTCTAGGTTTTCCCTTCTATTTTCTTCTTCTTCAACACATTAGTAAATTTTCTAAAGAGGATATATATCCTGATTGCCCTGTGATCTGATCACCTCATCAAGCTTTCCTTCTCCCTTGGTCGTAGGACCAAGTTGTTTTTTCTGTTTCTGGGTTGATCCTCAATTGATTGAAGCATGTAAGAGAACCACAAAAGTTATATAAGGAAGTCTTTGCTGTGTTTCTGGTTTTGGGCTGTGTTTGAAGATTGGTTGAAGGCTGTTACGTCCAAGAAAAGGTGCTGGTAGTTGATCATAAGGTGTGTTTTTGGTTCAAGGGAAGGTTTTTTAGGTGACCAACTTTATGTTCTGGTCTGCCAAGTGGGAACTGAAAGGTTGTTTGGATGTTAACAGGCCGTATCTGCAGTAATGGTTCACAGTGACTGAGTGTGCATGGTTCAAGTGGTTTCAGTCCTTGAGTAAGTGTTTCTAGGCTTCAGTTTACCCTTCCTAGTTCATTTTTTTTGTGCTGTTATATTGGATTGCTGCAGTCATGTAACTATGTGTGCCCAGAAAACCCTATTTTTTGGAGTTTGGATTCTAAAATAATGATGTTTCAGCTATGACCTTAGAGAGTTTTATCACTTCAAACCCTTCTGGAGGACTAGTTAGTTCTGGTAGTGGGATGAACAGTGTTGGCTTCCCTGTATCTAATGTCCTTCTTGATGGACTGAATTATTTGGAATGGTCCAAGAGTGTGAAGACGTTTGTTGGAACCCGAGGAAAGTTAGGATACCTTACTGGGAAAATTAAGAAGCCTACTACTGAAGGGACTAAATATGAGAAGTGGGAGCAAGAGAACTATCTTATTATATCTTGGCCTTGGTTTACATCTTCTATTCAGCTTGCACTTGGAAAGAATTTTATGTAGGCTGAAACAGCCAAGGAAATTTGGGACCAAGCAAAGCCACATTCTCCTTATTTCAGCTGCGTTGGAATAAGGAGAGAGTTCTCTTGTAGACTAATATTCTGTCCTCACTTCCATGTGGAAAGAGCTGGACCACTACAAGTCTATAGATTGGAAGAGTGAAGAGGATGCTTCCGGTTATAGGAAATTGCTCCCTCAAGAAAGGGTGTTTGCTTTCTTAGTAGGTCTGTATTCTGTTTATGAGCTTATTAGAGTTCAGATTTTGGTTGGTAAGGAGCTTCCAGGACTTGAGGAAGCAAGATACAGAAGAAGGGAGGAGGTGACAGAGACAAGTTTTGGTGTACTGATTGTAAGAGATCTCTGGACACACAAAAGAGTTTTGTTGGGATTTGGTTGGAAAACCTAAGAAGTTTCAAGGGGAGTAGAACAAAGGACCTAACACAGCTAATGTTGCTTCTTCCACTACTAGCCACGATAGTCAACAGTCTAGATAGAGCAACACTGCTCTGATTCAGCCCCTGGCCTCTGTACCTAAAGATGGTCTTCTAAGTACCATGTGTGATCAGTTTTTACAGTTTGGGTGTGTTCTCATACAATTGGAGGAAACATCTATTACTCCCTCCACCTTGTATTGCAACAAATTCAGGTAACCAAGCCAATGCTTTCCATGTTTCCTTAGTTCCTTCTCAGTCTTCTTGGATCATCAATTCAAGTGCTACAAACCATATGACTTATAAGTCTTCACTTTTCTCTTCTTATCTTGTTTTGTTTAGAAAAGATAAAGTTAAACTTGCAGATGTCTCTTGTTCTTCTATTGCTGGACAGGGAGTTGTCTCTCTTCCAATTGGCCTAACACTATTTGATGTTCACCATGTTCCAAAGATGCCTATTAATCTCTTATCTATTGATGCAGAACCACCACCTGTTACAAGAAAGTAGAAGAAGAAAGAAGACAAGAAGAGAAGGAAGAGAGGAAATTCGAAGGATGAAAGTTTTCTATTTCTCAAAAAACATAATGTGCATTTATAAGAAACCTAGAGCTGAAAATTACAATTAAGTCCCTACCAAATATGAAAGTTTCACTTAAAACCCCACCAAATATGAAAATTACAA